GACTACATAGTTTGTGTTACTCCAAGGGTGGAACATGACCAGTGTTTTTACTAAATCCCTTCCTGGAGCAGGGTATGTATTAAAACTCTGCAGCCAGACTACTGGGCAGTACAATAAACTAAAACCTTTTAAATCATTGAAGTGCAAAATGTAACATTATGGAGCTTACCTATCCTTGGGCGCCTGCCTGCATTCATTTTCTTTTTTTTTTTTTTTCTTCAGCTGGTAATCCTGTAAATAGCACTCTTCCTCTCCCTGGTTGGTGATATTTACTCCTCTAATGTATCCATGAAGGGAATCATGATTGTTATCCAGGCCGGGCTACTTATGTTTTTTTTTTGTTCATCTCCATTACCGGAGATTAGTAGTTTTTATATAAGAACTTTTTTTTCTTCAGTGCATCTCACAAGACCTGACAAAAACATTGTATTTCTGGCGTTACCATTACTTTTTGTACTTGCTGAAAATGTTCTTGGCCTGACCAAATTAAAGTAATGCAGCCACCACCTCTAAAGAATGTTAAGCTGTGATATTACACTTTTGTTCTCTGCTGTAATTACTCTTTTAACTTTGGAATGACAAAAGTTAATCCAGCTGAATTATATGGAAGTTTTGTAGGTGACTACTGATCTACATTTTACATGAATAATTAGGATACACCAACATTAATTTTTTGAGTTAATAAGATCTCTATCTTGTCAGGATTAAGTGATAGTGGGGTTTATTTACTAAAGCTGGAAAGTGCAAAATCAGGCTCACTTCTGCATAGAAACCAATCCGCTTCTAACCTCAGCTTGTTCAATTAAGCTTTGCAATAAAACATGAAAGCTGATTGGTTTCTGTGCAGAAGTGAGCCTCATTTTCCACTCTCCGGCTTTAGTAAATAACCCCCACTGTTAAACTAGACCGAACTCCTTCAGGGGTATGTAAAAAAAAAAACATAAGTCTGTAGATCCCCTTTCATTTGTGCTGATTGTTGTGACATACACTTGTGTACATACATTGACATGTAGGTGATGTCATTCCCTAGAATGATTGGTGTCCATTTGTTTACAGGCTGTAAATTCTGGTTTTGTTTTGTTTTTTCCAAACTGCACACATATTGGCATCTTCTATATAAAAAACCAAAAGTTCTGTTGATATAGTTTGCATATATTGCTCTCAATAACAGGAAATAAAATGTAATATTTACTACTTGGTAATGCGTGTCTCCACTTATTACCATGTTTGGGATATATATTTCTGAAGCCTTTTTGAAAAAAGTGAGAATTGAATTAAAGGACAAAGATTTATTTGAACAGGTAATGGATTCCTAAGATTCATTGATTATAACCACCACTTGGTGGTTGAGGGCTCTTTAGTCATCTGAATGTTAAAATTAAAGCCAGTGTTTTTAACTGAATGGTATGGCAGAAATCTGTGCGCAAATTGTTATTGGATAACAAAAGGTGGACAATATGGCTTTAGTTTATTTAAAACAAAAAACTAAGATAAAAATGTTGATGTTATTTTTATTTTTCAGAAAGGAGTAAATGTGATCTAGTTTAGACTGGGCTTGTAATGGTTCTTACTACACCAGCTCTAAACTCTGTTGTGCTGTCAGCTGTGATCCTGTTCCATTATTTTGTTCCTGCAGCCAGTGTCTGTACCCTGATCCTGGTATCTTGCTCCTGCATTCAGAGTTTGTATCCTGATCCTGTTACCCTGTGCTGTATCTCTGCTATTTTGGATTCTGCCCTTGGCCTGTCTTTGGAATACTTGCACTCTGTCAAGACTGACCTTGGCCTATCCCTGGAATGCTTTCTAGTCTGCTGCCAGCCCTTACATTGGCCTGTTTCTGCTTACTGATTGCCTCTATGCTGTCCCTGCTGACTCCAGTTTTTATGCTCCCCTCCAGGCTCTGGTTTTATCTATACTGGTAAAATTAGGAAATGAAGGGCTCATAAAATAGTACTTATCGCTAGACGTACAGTAGTCGCCCAGTAACAAAACATAAAAAACAAGGAAATGTGAAAAGAGATTCACAAAAAAAAAAGGTTACATTATGGACAGAAAGTGATACTCAAAGTAATTTCAAAAAATTATGCTTTATTACACAATGCATATATAGACATATAAGGTAAATACCTTAGACTTGAGGGTGACAGGTTAGTTACTAAAATGTTCAGAAAACCAACTGTAGCTAATACTCTACTTGAGGCAAGGAGTTATCATCCACGTTCATTGATTACTGGGATACCTATTGGTCAGTTCCTGAGGTGTCGCAGAAACTGCTCCAACATCAATGATTTCAGATTAGAGGCTGAAGACCTTTATAAAAGATTCAGGGAATTTGGATACTCCCATTCACAGATTAGGAAGGCAAGAAAATAAGCATATCAAACTGATCGGAAAACCTTACTGTCTTCAAAAGAGGAAGCGAGTTCAGGTAAACGGACTCCACAACCAGTTAGAATGATCACCCAATTTGGAGCACAATGGGGGGGGGGGGAGGTGTAAAACTTGTACTTTAAAAACATTGAAAGATTCTTATGCAGTGCCCCAATTTAGGTAGAATTGTTGGTGTGACCATCCATTAATGGTAGCAAGGAGAGCACCAAATCTTGATTTACTTATCCACTCAGACTATCCGCCAATAAAACAATCAACATGGCTTACGGCATGCACCAAAGGGATGTTTAGATGTGGAAAATGTCAGATCTGTAAATTTGTAGATCGCACTGTTTAGGTTCTCTGATTCGAACAATAAGGCCCATTTTAAAATTCAAAGCTTTATAAATTGCTATACAGCTAGAGTACTATATATGTTGACTTGTCCTTGTAAAAAAATGTATATTGGTAAAACTAAAAGGCAGCTTAAAGTGCGAATAGGTGAACACTTTAGAGATATTAACCTCCCTAGCGGTCCAATTATGTCCATATTTCTGTGCTCAAAGCGGTACTTTTTTTGCATGGAAATATGTATTTTTTTTATTGTAGGCCTGTAATTTTTAGGAATAACTCACTGAAATCTGTCCGAACAAGTCTAGTAAACATCCCGGGTATGTTAAAATTTGAAACACGAAATCATAATTTAATAAATCAAAAAATATAATAAATTTAATTTAATAATATAAGCAAACCAAAAACACTGACATTTGAAATATAGCGCCAAGTTCGCACATCACTGAGCAAAGTCGCAAAATTGTTTTCAGTGTCTGATCATGAATTTCCCCACGAATCATCACTCAATTCTGCAAGTAGTTCTAATTTACTATCACTGTTCTATAGCTGGTCTAAAACCGATTTTGACCTAAAGGGATGCTTTTTGAACACCATGGATGTTTCTCAGTTTCCAGGCAGAAAGAACAGTAAAAATGCAGGCAGGGCACAGGACAAAGCACTAGGGACAAAATGTATGTGAAATGGTTTGATACAGTAATGTTTTACTATGTGATTTTAGTGTATTTAGTGAATGTCACTTTTTACCATTTTCAAATTTCCCGCCGTTACGTCCCGACGTCCCAGGGGACGGAACCCAGAAGACAGATGCTCACATCCGCAGGAGGACATTACAGGGGACACTGCAGGAGGGACATCACGGGAGCGCAGGACAAGGTAAGTGAAGAAAAAATCCTGGAGCAGCGCCACATAGTAAGCCCGAGTGTAGCTCGGGGTTACCGTTTTTGGTACTGAAACTTTACCCCGAGCTACACTCGGGAATACCACCAGGGAGGTTAAATCGAATGACCCTGAAAGTAATTTAGCTCAACATTATGCAAAATACCATGGGGGTAAACTAAAGGGCACTAAAGTTAAAGGAATTTATGCACTTAATTTCCCGCAAAGGAGAGGTGACTTTGACAGAGAACTTTTAAAACATGAAAAACATTGGATATATAAACTTGATACTTTATCCCCTAAAGTGTTAAATGTGAACTTGACCTCCAACTGTTTTTGCAAAAATAAGTCAATATGAAGATTTGCAGCGTAAGTCTGCCTTCTGCCATCTGTGGGTGATTAAGTTTATCATTAGGATTGAGTTCTTAATAACTTTGTGTGACTATAAGAATATTTTCTTCCCACTATGGAGCCAAGTACCTCTTTATTTATGTGTTTTATGACCAGTTATCTGCTGACTATTTTAGTTTTTTCTCAATGAGTTAAATTGCCACCAGCTGATTTACATATATGGGCGGTACAAGCCTATTATAAATAATGTATGTGAGGTAGGCATCTTATTGGTCCTGACGAAGCTGAGTAAGATACGCCCATCGGCGAAACGCGTTGACGTCAGTTACGTCACTTCCGGTCGGACGCTTTGGCGCCACACACATAGTCTTGCAGGGGATGCGGTAACACACACCGGTATTCGGCGTTACCAGGCTGCACGAGTACCAGGATGGGAGCGGAGCCCGTCTGCTTCTAGTCCCGATGGTGGCGGCTGCCTCCGGGACCATGGGCGGTTATCCCGATGAGAGAAACTTCACCGAAGGCAAGGCTATCGCCTAAGGCATGGGTGGTGAGTGATATACAGCATATATAAAAGGAAATACGGAGCACTACGCCATTGCCTATCTACCTAAAGTGACAAACTCACTGACTTTCAATATGTCACCTATTTATTTCAGGATGGGGACATCATGTTACACAACTTGAAAGGTGCACAGCACCCCATGTTTACAATCGGGCACAGATGCTCCTGTATTCTATATCACAGTATTATTATAAAGGAGGTGTGAAGCCCTTTACATATTGGCAGGGCCCTGCCATTTCTACTACATTGTGTAAGTCACATGGTGAAAATACTATGGCTATCAAGCTCATCTTATCAAGTATTATGGACATGACTGCTGCTGTTTGAAACCTCACCACCGATATTTTCCATTAACCTCCCTGACGGTATTCCCGAGTATAGCACGGGGTAAAGTTTCAGTACCAAAAGCGGTAACCCCGAGCTACACTCAGGCTTACCATGCGGCGCTGCTCCGGCATCTGTTCATCACTTACCTTGTCCTGCGCTCCCGCGGTGTCCCCGACAATGTAATCTGGCGGATGCCGGCATCTGTCATCTGGGTTCCATACCCTGCGAGCGTCGGGACGTACGGGGGTACAGAACGGCGGGAAATTTGAAAATGACAAAAACTGACATTCACTAAAATCACATAGTAAAACATACCTGTATCAAACCATTTCACATACATTTTAACCCTAGTGCTTTGTCCTGTGCCCTGCCTGCATTTTTACTGTTCTTTCTGCCTGGAAGCTGAGAAGCATTCAAAAAGCGTCCCTTTAGGTCAAAATCGGTTTTAGACCAGCTAGAGAACAGCGATAGTAAATCTGAACTACTTGCAGTATTGAGTGATAATGATTCGTGGGGAAATTCGTCATCAGACACTGAAAACGATTTTGTGACTTTGCTCAGTGATGTGTGAACTTGGCACTATATTTCAAATTTCATTGTTTTTGGTTTGATTATATTATTGAAAAATATAATAATACATTTATGATTATTTATTAAATTATAATTTTATGATTTCGTGTTTCAAATTTTCATACCCAGGATGTTTACTAGAATCTTGTTCGGACAGATTTCAGTGAGTTATTCCTAAAAATGACAGGCCTACAATAAAAAAATACATATTTCCATGCAAAAAAAGTATCGCTTTGAGCACAGAAATATGGACATAATCAGACCGCTAGGGAGGTTAAGCCTGCTATAACCACTACCTGATTTGGTTATTACCCAGCTAGTGGTTGTGGGGGTAGATTGCTTCTATATATCGCTCTACAGTCACTATATACCTATTTAGGTTATTGGGCTATCTTATCCATTGTCTGGTACTTATAATCGGCTATAATACTGCATTGCTTGCTTTACCTGTTGGTACAATTTTTTTAAACACCCCCTACATGGCGGTGTAAGCATTGTGTCAGTGCTGTGTATGTATATGTATATATATATATATATATATATATATATATATATATACATACAGTCAGGTCCATAAATATTGGGACATCGACACAATTCTAACATTTTTGGCTCTTTACACCACCACAATGGATTTGAAATGAAACAAACAAGATGTGCTTTAACTGCAGACTGTCAGCTTTAATTTGAGGGTATTTACATACAAATCAGGTGAACGGTGTAGGAATTACAACAGTTTGCATATGTGCCTCCCACTTCTTAGGGGACCAAAAGTAATGGGACAAAATAATAATCATAAATCAAACTTTCACTTTTTAATACTTGGTTGCAAATCCTTTGCAGTCAATTACAGCCTGAAGTCTGGAATGCATAGACATCACCAGACACTGGGTTTCATCCCTGGTGATGCTCTGCCAGGCCTCTACTGCAACTGTCTTCAGTTCCTGCTTGTTCTTGGGGCATTTTGCCTTCAGTTTTGTCTTCAGCAAGTGAAATGCATGTTCAATCGGATTCAGGTCAGGTGATTGACTTGGCCATTGCATAACATTCCACTTCTTTCCCTTAAACTCTTTGGTTGCTTTTGCAGTATGCTTTGGGTCATTGTCCATCTGCACTGTAATGCGGCGTCCAATGAGTTCTGAAGCATTTGGCTGAATATGAGCAGATAATATTGCCCGAAACACTTCAGAATTCATCCTGCTGCTTTTGTCAGTGGTCACATCATCAATAAATACAAGAGAACCAGTTCCATTGGCAGCCATACATGCCCACGCCATGACACTACCACCACCATGCTTCACTGATGAGGTGGTATGCTTAGGATCCTGAGCAGTTCCTTTCCTTCTCCATACTCTTCTCTTCCCATCACTCTGGTACAAGTTGATCTTGGTCTCATCTGTCCATAGGATGTTGTTCCAGAACTGTGAAGGCTTTTTTAGATGTCGTTTGGCAAACTCTAATCTGGCCTTCCTGTTTTTGAGGCTCACCAATGGTTTACATCTTGTGGTGAACCCTTTTTGTATTCACTCTGGTGAAGTCTTCTCTTGATTGTTGACTTTGACACACATACACCTACCTCCTGGAGAGTGTTCTTGATCTGGCCAACTGTTGTGAAGGGTGTTTTCTTCACCAGGGAAAGAATACTTCAGTCATCCACCACAGTTGTTTTCCGTGGTCTTCTGGGTCTTTTGGTGTTGCTGAGCTCACCGGTGCGTTCCTTCTTTTTAAGAATGTTCCAAACAGTTGTTTTGGCCACGCCTAATGTTTTTGCTATTTCTCTGATGGGTTTGTTTTGTTTTTTCAGCCTAATGATGGCTTGCATCACTGATAGTGACAGCTCTTTGGATCTCATCTTGAGAGTTGACAGCAACAGATTCCAAATGCAAATAGCACACTTGAAATGAACTCTGGACCTTTTATCTGCTCATTGTAATTGGGATACTGAGGGAATAACACACACCTGGCCATGGAACAGCTGAGAAGCCAATTGTCCCATTACTTTTGGTCCCTTAAGAAGTGGGAGGCACATATGCAAACTGTTGTAATTCCTACACCGTTCACCTGATTTGGATGTAAATACCCTCAAATTAAAGCTGACAGTCTGCAGTTAAAGCACATCTTGTTTGTTTCATTTCAAATCCATTGTGGTGGTGTATAGAGCCAAAAATTTTAGAATTGTGTCGATGTCCCAATATTTATGGACCTGACTGTATTAGACTATGTGTCAAAATATTTACAGCACCTTACTATTTTGACCGGCCATGACGTCTGTTTTTAATTGATTTTAGGTCATACTTTGATGTATTATCTCATTCTGAGGTGATGGCTAACTGAGGTATTTACCTTATATGTCTATATATGCATTGTGTAATAAAGCATAATTTTTTTTTTTAATTACTTTGAGTATCGCTTTCTGTCCATAATGTAACCGCTTTTTTTTGTGAATCTCTTTTCACATTCCCTTGTTTTTGATGTCTGGTTTTATCTATCCTTTGGTCACTTGACTCTCAATAACTATAGGTCTCATTTACGTTCCTGCTTTGCCTCCAGCGCTGCTTGGCACTGTGTATTAAGTAAACAAAAGCAAACAAGGGCGTACTCTCATCGAGCATTATCGTGGTACGCCACAAATTTATTTAGAAAACATGGATGTATACTCACAAACCAAAGCGAATAAAATCAGAGCAGATAAATCTGTAATGTCAGTCCAATGGAATACTAGACCCTTGTAGGGATAGGCTAAAGCATTTTAGGGAGACAGACACCCAGCAGCTTTACTAACAATAAGGGTTCCAAAGTTGTGGATACTGGTACAGGCCTGAGGCCTACTAAAACAGATGTTGCCAAGGCCCCCCACCCCTCTCAGGCCATATAGGCATAGAGGAAACCACAAATATATAGAAAATGGGAAGGGCAAACATAGGAGTCAATACAATCATAAACGATTTAATAGAGTCTTTCAATATCCTAGAGAGGCCCACCATTCTGATACATTTCCCTATGCCCATACAGGGGATAGACAGGACACCTCTTTGTTCGCACGAGTGCATCACTCTGACATCTGCCCTACCGGAAGGCTTTCCCAGTGAGCCCAACACATCAGTTCAGGGCACACTAAAGGAGACACATTTCATCATCTAAGACACTGCCGGCACAGGATGAGCAAGGTTCTATACCCTCAACCTCGCTAGCCCCTCCGGGCAATTTTTAGAGAGAGGACCCCTCTCAGGGGACCAACACAGACAGAAAAGATCCGGAGAACCCGTAGAGGAGGGAGAGGTGGGGTCAAGTCCAAAAAGAGGAAAAAAATAATACAACATAGCACTATCAAAATCTTTAATTTGTCCAAAGCCACCTTCAGTGCGTCCGAATACAGTTTATTACAGAAGGGTCTTAATTTTGCACCCCCCAATTTGCCCAATCTTTTTGAGCTTTTCATTGACCTCAACAAATTTACACAGGAGTCTCACCCTCCAGAGGTATTTCTCTATGAAAAATAAGAACACAGAGATAGAAGGTCATAGTGAAATCAATGATTTAAGATCTGACATTGATTTTGATGGGGAGGCTCTGGCTATTCTAGAGGACCTTTGGACGGAAGGTGGTGAATCAACAGAATACGGAGAAGTCAATCTTTATGGTCCCTGGACCACTGACACACTTGGGCTTACACATTGTGATCACATACAACAAACTACCTTCAAACCTAAATCCACATTGGGCCAAGGGATGTTACATTTCCTCTTTCTATGAGGGTATACACAGAGTTTAAAACCATGTGTCTCAAGTCTGGGCTTGATCATAATGCCAATATGACTCCCACAGATAAAAAATATCTCCAGTTATTGAAAAAGAATTTAGATGTTGTTATTAGACAGGCGGATAAAGGAGGGGGCCTAGTCATCTTGGACAAAGAAGCATATCCAGCTGAAGCTGATCAACTCTTGGGGGACACTGACACATGAACGTCTCCCTGGAGACCCCATTGTGACATACAGATCTATTCTTAAAAGTCTGCTAGTTTCAGCTGTCCATGACAAAATCCGCAATAAGCAAGAGTTGGCCTTTCTTTATAGACCATTTCCAATGACACCCCACTTCTACCATATCCCTAAGATTCATAAGGATGCAAAAAATCCCCCTGGAAGACCTATCACATCGGGGATAGACAGCCTTACTAGCAATCTGGGCAATTACATTGATAATTTTTTGCAGAAACTGGTAGTTGATGTACCCTCATGTGTGAGGGATTCAGGCCATATACTTGAGATCCTATCCAACTACCAGTGGGAGGAGAACTATAAGTGGGTGTCCCTAGACATGTCCTCTTTGTACACCAGCATTCGCTATGAATTTGGCCTACAGGCAGTGCAACATTTTCTATCTAAGTATCATTCTTTAAAAGAAACAACATTTGGGAAGGCTGTAAAGTGCATTGAGTATACCTTTACCCATAACAATTTTATTTTTATAGAACAATTTTATAGGCAGATCAGAGGCACAGCTATGGGAGCAAGGTTTGCCCCTAGCTATGCCAATCCTTTTTATGGGTTTTTGGGAGCAGCATTTAACAACATAACCCGTTTGGCGCCAATCTGGTCTTGTACACCCGATATATAGATGACATTTTCATTATATGGGATGGCGATCTAACCAGGTTGAAGGAATTAATTTCTTATTGTCAATCAAACCCAAATGGGATCGAATTTACATACATTGTGGAGGACTCTAGTATTGTTTTTCTAGATCTGGAACTCAGAGTTGGACCAAACTCACGGGTGGTATCTAAGACCCACTTCAAGCCCACAGCTGGGAACGCATATTTGTATGCCAGGAGTCACCATCATCCGAGATGAATTAATAGTGTCCCTTTAGGGCAATTCTGTAGACTAAGGAGAACATGTACTTTAGTAGAAGACTGACACTC